TGTTTCTAGTATGCCACACAAGCTGTGCAGCGAACAAAGTTTGACATAGCATCATTTGTCTCCTACAAAGGGAACAAAGGTTGACACAGCAAACACGTTACTAAGATGATGACGCATACAGAACAGTATAGTGACTCATCAGTTAATTAATCTATAACTATATGGTCGGTGCTCCAGGTACATGGTTACTAGAGTGACAAGCATAGCACAGAATGACAAAGCTCTTTGTGCTAATAACAACCTTTTAACTTTGCATTTTAGCACAACATTAACTATTGGCTTGTTTTGAACTTCTTTATTGCATTCATTGTTTTATTTTTATCATTTCTACTCTATTCTGTTCTGTTCAATTTTTACTGTGTCTGAAGGTAGCTGCAGCTATTTTGAAGATAACAAAAGGCATTATGGTAACTATTGCTAATTTCATAAGATTTTGAAGTCCTGTATCACTCATATTAGTTTAGTTTGTTTGGTTTTTTCCTGTTTTATTTTCCTTGGTTTTATCCTCTTTAAAATTAAAAAAAAAAATTGTATTGTCTTCCTAATGTAAGAAACTGAAACAGTAAACAAGACCCAAAATGTAAAATATTATGAAAGGGAAAGAAGCTGCTCAAAAGGAAAGAAAAAAGGATGGGGGAAAGGAGAGAAAAATGAAGGAGAAAAAATATATATGCAACATAGCTAAGATAATTGCACTACTAATTCTAATAGTTCAGGAAATGAAGAGTTAGTGCTTATGCTTTTGATCAATTTTCCAAACCTACATGGTAATCTGAGCAAGTATTTTGAAATAGCAATATGCAATATAATAACTATTATTAATTGTCTACCATCTTGTTTTGAAATCCTCTATTGTTATTGTTATTGTCATTGTTGTCATTATTGTTCCTTTTATTCTCTTTTTAAAAAATGGATAAATGATTTGAATAGAGATTTCTCCAAATAAAGTTTGCAAATGTCCAATAAGCCATGGATAAACCTTAAAAAACATGCCAAGTAAAAGAAACCATACACAAAAGGATACTTATAGTCCATATAAATATATGATTATATTTATATATAAAATCTCAAAATTAGCCAGATGTAGAGATTGAAAGCAAACTTGTGGCTGACAGAGGCTAAGATAGGAGGAAATGGATGGTAGTTGCTTAGCAGGTACAAATTTCCTACTTTGGGTGGTATAACATTTCTTGAATGAGATAGTAGCGATGAGGTAAGACAGTGTATATTTCATGCTAATAAAAATAAACTTCTAAAGAAAGGAATTAAGTACTGACTCATGCTTCAACATAGATAAACCACGAAAACATTATTCGAAATGAAATGTCATGTACTAAAGTCCACACACTGCATTCTTCACATATTAAATGTTCTAAATAGGCAAGTGATAGACAGAAAGCAGACATTAGTGTTTGCCAGAAACTGGTGGTGGGGAGGGAGTGGCAGAAAGGAAGGAGAAATGGAGAGTTGCTGCTTAATGGGTACAAAATTTCTTTTGGAGTAATAAAAAAATTCTAGAATTAGGCAGTGTTAATGATCCATTTTGATTTTAGTTTTGTGTGTAGTGATAGATATGGGTCTAATTTAAGTCTTTGGCATGTGGAAAGCCACTTTTTCCAGTAGCATTTATTAAACAGGCTACCTTTCTTCCAGAAAACGTGTTGGCCCCTTTGTCAAAGATAATGTGTCTAAGTATGCTGTAGTTATGTCTGCATCTTCTGTTCTGTTCCACTGCCTTTTTAGTTAACGGTGATGCAATTCCACGGAAATACTAAACCTCATGGGATTATGTTATTTTGTAGTGAGTTTTATAGTATAGAAATTACAATCTCAAAAAAGTTGCTCTTTACAAAGTGAAGGGTGTGGTGGCACATGCCGGTAATCCCGGCACTTGGAAGGCTGAAGCAAGAGGACTGTAGTGGGTTTGAGGCCAGCCTGGGCTACATTAGCAAGTTCAAGGCCAGTCTGCACTATTTAGTGAGACCCTGCCTCAAAAAATAAAGAAAGAAATAAGTGAGACAAGGGCTACCTGACTCTTTTATTTTTCCCTTCAACTCTAATTTGAGAATGTAGTGCTTTGAGCTATTGTAGTCATCTTGTAATCATGCACTTGCTTGAAAAATAGCTTGGTATGCTGAGTTTATCAGAAAAAGGATATTGTTGCATACCCGTAACTCCAGCATTCAAAAGCCTGAGGCAGGAAGATTGCTGTGAGTTTGAGGTCAGCTTGGGCTACATAGTGACTTCATGACCAGCCTGAACTACATAGTTTGATCCTGTTGCAAAAAAACAAAAATCTATTTTTCATGCAGTTGTGCTAACAAATCCTGGAGGTGAAGTTCTTTGGACTTTTCGCCATGAACAATAATAAACTTTTTTTTTTTTTTTTGTATTTTTACAAGGTACCAGGATTGAACTCATGACCACACACTTGCAAGGCAGACCCTTATGCCACTGAGCTAAATCCCCAGCCCCAATAATAAACTCCTAAAGGACGCAACTTGAGACCGTACTCATAAGCGAAATAAATCAAACTCACATGTATAAATTCCGTATAGTCTCCCTAGTGTAAGAAATGGTAAGAGCACATAAGAGTTTATGGTAATCATGATTCTCCATTACATCACTTTGAAGCTTTATAATGTTTCCATTCATTATTGTTTGATTTTATTATCTGTGATGGTATGAAGAGCTATTTTGAAGAAAACAAGACATTATAATAGCTAGTGCTGATTTAATATCATCTTGTTTTGAATCCTACCATGCTTTCATTCTGTTTCTATACATTCTATCATTAGTATCTTATTGGATTTTATTATGTGTGATAGTATAAACAAATTTTTTATGAACAATACAATAATATAGTAATCATTATTCATTTTCTGTTATTTGATTCTGAATGCCCTGTAATATTTTCATTCTCTTGAATGGTTTTATACTATTTTGTTATGTTTGATACTATTGTGTATGAAGGTATGCTCAACTATTTCAAGGAAAGAGACATTATAGTAGCTACTGTTGTATCATGTTGTCTTGTGGTGAAATACTGTGTTGCTTTTTTTGTTCTGTTCTGATCTGCTTTGTTATGTCCTCTTCTATCCTAATCTCTTTAAAATAAAAAATAATAAACTTCTTAAGGTTTAAACCAACAGAGATAAATTACTTATAAGGAAGAAAGGTTTGTTTTTGCTCATGGTTTTGGTCCATGGTTGCTTGCCTCTGCTGAATGAATAAAGTGCTTACATGTTCAGAAGGGATAGCAGGAATGAGAATTCCTATAGTAGCACAGAATGCTGGGTAACAATGTAGCAACATCCTCAGGGTTTAAAAAAATTTTATGTAGATTAACATCTTTAGAAAGCACAGTTAGGGACTTAATTGTGACTCTTTCTGAAGATTTTGTGTGAAGATGTTCTCCTACAGAAGATACACAAGAAATTTGAGGACATTAATTATTTCTTGTTACCCAAAGGGACATCAAAATATGGAATTTGAAGTAAGTATTTGTAGGTGTAAAGGTAACAAAAGAACTGAAAATAAAAAGGTTGTAAAAAAGAGGAAAAGAAGTGGAATTCTGTATCAATAAGCTAAATTCCTTGACTTTCATTGAGCAAAATAGATTTTCTTCAAACTTGATAGATGAAAGTGATAAATACAAATATAGTATTTTCAGGTATAGAGGAAATCATCAAAATAAAATGAAAGTTTGTAGAAAACAGAACTGAAAAGTAGTGAGATGAGAAAGAGACATTAAGCTTTTGATCTGTACTTCGTTGCTATTTATTTTTTTAGAGAGTAAAAACATACCAATGTTAATAGGAATGTATCAGAATGATACAATCATTGACGGATTTAGTCTTCAATCCATTTCCTTGGAACCTCCAAATGTTCTACAGCAACCTCACAGTATTTTATTTATTATAAACACGCACACTTTTAATTATTAGGACAAGGAAACACTGTGGCTGTTTAAAAATTTACCAAACCCTTAATTCTCTTTACCCTTGATCTCTAACTTAGTGAAAGTTCCAGTCAGACAAGGAGTTTATTAGACAGACTTTTTTTTTTTTGGAGACAGGGTTTCACCAAATAGCTCAGGTTGCTTTTAAACTCACTATGTAACCTAGGCTGGCCTTGGACTCTTGATGGACAGTCCTCCTGATGCACCCTGTTGAATGCTAGAACTACAAGCATGCACCACCACACTGCATATAAACATAACTTTCTAAGGAAATATGAATCATTTTTACTTTTAAAAAGAAGGGGTAATGGTTGGGTCACATTTAATACCTCTTCATCTCCTCAGTGTCCCCCTTTTCCCAGTGCTTTATGAATGACACACTCTAGCTGAATCTCCTACCCATTATAGAGGGTCTCTACAAAGCACTACTTCCTTAGCTGACAAATATTTAACTTCAGATTTAATGTTTTCAGCAACTATATCTCCCAGCAGCCCATTCTAATACCAGACAGCAATTTTTTTTATCAGAAATTTCTTACGTATGTTTAATTGAAATTGACTTCCTTGGAACAATTTCCACTCATGCAACGTGGTCTCATTTTCTGGAACTTCCACACAAATTAGCTAATCCCCTATGTTGTGTTTCTGCAAATACTTAAGTATGATTTCAAGGTCTCACTGGCTCAACATCAGTCCATTTTTGCAGACAATTTTACTCTGATGTCAGCACTTTCAAAATTAATGTTATTCACTTTTCAGTTCAATTCATTCAGTTAACTTCTGAGTGCATCACTAAATACACACATACACACACATATATACACTTTGAGATAATTTATAGATATATACATTTTTTGCACCTGCCCCGGCCCCCATCCCCATCCCTGGAAACAGGCATACTTAGCTCAGGGTAAGCCGGATTCTCCCTGCACAGAGAGGTGGTGACTGAAAACACACAAGAAAACAGATAGATCTTCCAGAGAGCACTCCTAGTGATGGGGAGGGGAGGCGGGAACAAGTCTGTCACTATCCAGATGATCAGGGAAAAGCATGAAGGAACGCAGTCCCTCACTACCACACATTGTGCAGTGATTGTCCCACACTTGGGGAAATCGCATGGGTCAGCACCTCTGGAGTGCAATGGATGAGCCTCATCCTGGGAAAACCACCTTTGTGTTCATGGTGTCTCCCCTGCCAGGTAAGTATTAAGTGTGTAATTTTAAACAAATAGACCCTGGGAGTCATTTATAGGTAGGTTAAGCAAGTTGACTAAGTTTAGATGAGATAAACACCACACTAACGAACAAACAACAACAACACCAATTCCAGAAAGTCAAAAAAGGAAAAAGCCCAAAGGCAGCAGAAGGAAAGCTGGAAAATAAAATGAAGTTGAAGACTGAACTAAAGACGATTCCTATGACTGTGATGTTTTACTTTATGAGGGATTAATTATACTCTGTTTATTCAGAGGAGAAATCAATCATTTTGAAGCTTTTAAGAAAAAGCTAATCTATGCCTGTCATCCTCAGAGTAGAGAACAAAAAAATTAAAATTTAAGTTATAAATGGATCTCCTGAAGTTAAGTTGGGATATATTCACTATAGAAAACAATAATAATAAGGTTAATATATTGCTTTTCTTTTTCTCTATAGAGACTTGTGCTTTATGTAAGTGCTATATTCATACAGTAGAACACAGTTCAGCCATAAAAAATGAAATGTGGAGATGAAGATGGTCAAAACACATTTTATGCATGTAAGAAAATGCCACAGTGGAACCAAATATTTATAAAATTAACATGTCCTAAAAAAATTAAACTTTAAAAAAGAGTGGAGTATTTTGAGATATGCTGCAAGAAGGATGAACCTTGAAAACATGACGCTAACTGTAAGCAGTTGATCATATTGTAGGGAAAGCTGAAGGACAGGCAGGGAAACGTACGAGTCTTAGCAGCAAGATTTCTGGCAAATGAAGAGTTAAACACCTGCTACAGAGAGCAATTAGGAGAAGCAGAGAGAACTGATAAAGCTGCCTGGCTCACTTCCCAGCCAGGGCCCCAAGTGCTTCTCCCCTCCTCCAGTTAAATACAAAGGAGAGGAAGTGGGGAGGGGGCCGTACTACAGAAAGCCCACTCAGTGTATAAAATGTATATGCTCACCTGCACTCACCCACCTATACGTAAGTACAGATGTAGCTATATTTTATCAGTCTCTCGCCATGTTAATGCACTGAAGTGTACATGTAACCCTTTACTAATTGCTAACTCAGCCTTGAATGTGAGGTTCTGCTATAAATTTCAGAGATAGCACTTGGAAGAAAAAAAAAAAGGAGCTTACCCAAGAATACACAGGCAATAAAAACTCTCAGCAGCCAAATCAGGGACCTCAGAGACTAAATAGCCACTGAAGTTATAACAGCTCTCAGAGGGGAGGGTCCTTTTTGCCATATAATAAAAGGGGCTGAGAACAAATGCCCTCCCTCATACTCTCTCACAAGGTAGCTGTCTATCGCCTCATTTCTCTCTTCTTTCCAGTAAAGTGATTTTGTTTCTCCTTCTAAACTTTAATTCTTTATTGGTATAATGTTTATGAACTCCAGATAGATAAAATCTGCCCTCACTCCAGTGTGACAATATAAAACCATATAGTCTATGATTCCGCTCACACAAAAGGTCTAGAAAAGGGAACTCTCTGGAGACAGAAAATGGTTGCTTATTAAGGCTAATGGAGGAGGGAGGAGGTTAAAGGCTAAATAATTTTTTTCTTTTCTTCTTTTTTTTTTGGTATGGGCAATCAAACTCAGGACCTTGCACTTGCCTGGCAGGCACTGTGCTGCTGAATTGTATCTTCAGCCCCAGCATTTCTTTTTGATGGACTGAAAATATTCTCAAATTGACCACGATGATGGTTATATATATATATATATATATATATATATATATTTTTTTTTTTTTTGTCTTTTTCCTTTTTATCGGTACCAGGGATCGAACTCATGACTGCCTGCTTCCAAGGCAGGTGCTTATGCCGCTGAGCTAAACCTCCAGCCCCTATATATATTTTTTTAAACAAAATGATTTTAAATGGGATAAGCGCATAATATATAATCATATGTCAATAAAATAGTTTTTAAAAATTAACTAATAATTTTAAAGACTGAAATACTGGTTTGTTCATTACCTAACCTCTTTTTGGAAGCGCCAACAAAACTGACAGAACCTCGACTGACTATAACTCTAAGCTCTGACTCATTTTCCACTGAAACGTGTTGTTCAATGTTCAGTGTTTAGAATCTAACACACTCATGACTCAGCCCCTACATCTAGGGTTCATTTATCAACCATCATTCCACAAATGTTGAATTCAGCGTGAGTCTCAGTCCGTGCCAGGTGCAGGCCAACTGGGAGACAGTGACACTACCTCAGAGATTGGTCTTTTCCTTCCCAGAACGTGGCAAGAGCTACCACCAGCCCATATCTCAGAGTATTCACACAGATTCCAGATTCCACCTTCTGTGGTTACTCCCTCCTTTCCTTTGGTTTCCAGTTACTAGAGGATGTAGGGATGTATACTGATAGAATGAGAAAATCTAATTTGCATTTCTAAAAACCTGCTTAAAGATTAGGACTGATAGGAAAAACAAAAATAAAAACAAACAAACAAACAACTCAGTGGAAGAAGCAGATGCTGGATTTTATGAGGTAACCAGAAGCGTGGAGTGTCCTGAACCATACAAGTCTCCTTCCTAGTTAGTGCAACAGACAGAGAGCTCCTCCCCTGGTTCTTCCTGGGCTTTCTCCCACAGCCCTTGTCCTTCCCATTCTATCTCCACCCGGGCTTAATCTTCCGCACATCAGGACTTTATCCCTCCACGGTATGTAATCATCCTGACTCACAGAGCACTCTGGGAAAATGGAAACTCTATTTCAGATCCAAGTTTTGGGAGATGAGTGATGCCTGTATGGTCAAAAAGACACTTTATATAATTCATCTTCACCTTGTGATAGATGCTTCCTGAATTAGTCTCTTGATTTACTAGATCAGTTTAGAGGCACATATCTAAATGTTCACTTCTCAAATACCAAAAGATAATAATTCTTTTTTTTTTTTTTTTTTTTTTTTTTTTTTGGTCTTTTGGAGACATGGTCTCATTACGCGGTTCAGGCTGGCCTTGAGCTCACTTTGTAGCCCAAGCTGGTCTCAAACTCACAACGATCCTCTTGTCTCAGCCTCCCAAGTGCTGGGATTACAGGAGTGCACCACCATACCCGGTTAATAATAATAATTTGACTGATTCATTATCTATCATTTGTGTTAAAGGATCCCAGTATCCACAGGAATTACGGGCTGGAGGCATAGCACAGTGGTACAGATTGCCTACTATGTGCAAGGCGCTGGGTTTCATCTTCAGTACTGGGAAGGAGTAAGGATTCATTGAACTGAGTCATCATTCTTATGCAAAAAAATCAAAGCTACTCTGACCAAGGAAAATAGCAAGGGGCCAGTGAGGCATAGATCAGGACTAGACCGGCTTTTCCTGACAGCAGCACAAGGTACAGTTGATTAAACACAGAAGAAGGCAATAACCACCAAGAAATTTGTTTGAAAACACTGGGGTCATTTACCTGTTTAGCAAGGTACCACTTAGTTATAGAAGATTTCTTTTTCCTGGATCTGTATACGCGAAGAAGTTGCCAAGGGGCCAAGAGCCAAAGGAAGCCCAAAGGAATCCACACCAGAACAGTTTGCTCAAAACAAAGTGGTAGATCTGCCTCCGGGCTGTCCAGGAATGAGGCATTCTGGGAAAACAAAAGAGAATTGTTGGAGACACATGTTTTTTATTTATTTATATTTGTGTATGTATTTTAGTTCTGGGCATCGAACTCAGGACCTTGTGTGGAACAGACAGACGCTTGAGCTACGGAGCCGCATTCCCGCCTCCCACATGTTTTTGAAAGAGGCCCATCCTCCCCAACTTTCCACCTGCTTCCAAACAATTTAAATTCAGTCCTGAATCCATATCCAATTTTGTCCTTTTTGAGGGGTGGGGGATTGTCTTTTATTTTTAATATACTTACTTCTTATTAATTAAATTCACTGGTACATTTTAGGTGTACCCTGACAGGGAATTTGTACCAGTGCACGATATAACTTTCTTCTTGTTGTTGTTTTGGTATTGGAGATCAAACTCGACCTCACACTTGCCAGGCAAGTGCTTGTGCCGCTGAGCTAAATCCCCAGCCCTACCTGATGTAACTTGATTTTTTTTTTTCCATTCTCCTACCTGCCCTTCAGGCCCTCTTCCAGTTTTGTCTTTTAACTATCCAAGCCTTCTTCCCGTTCATCCTCACTGATACATATTAACCACTTAATGGGGTTTAGTGACTTTTCTGGCCAATTCAATGTCTCAAAACCTATATTCCTTGAGGTTTTAGCTTTGCTCAGTGGACATATTGTAGCCAATGAGGTTTATAGGAGGCACGATTATTGCTAGGATTTTAAATGAACTTCTATAGAAGCATTTCTGAGCAAAATTCACTGACATTTGTCAAGTTTAAGGAAGAAAAGGGATGGTTCCTCAGTCCAAAGGAGAGACTACTTCCCTGGATATAAAAATTAGTTCTTATTTAGTTTCTACTTCAAATTGAACTCAGGGGCAGATGTTCAAACATGCAGGAACCAGACAGGCAAAAAGCTCAGTCATACATACTGCGACATTCACCGCTACTATCTGTATATGCGGTCTGTACATTACTATTTACTATTATTACCTCCTACGCCCTGAAAGGCTTATTTCAAAACCAAGGGGGCCTGACTGGTTTGGGTACAGGAGCAACAATGGCATTGCTGGATAGAATGGTCACTCTCAGCAGGGGCTGTACCAGTCTTTGATGCTGTAATAAATGGAAATGTTTTGTGAGGTGGGGTGGGGAGTACTAGTTCTTAGATCTGAGTCAAATAAGGGGAGATTTTTCTTTCCTATAAATATTTTTAATTTTTTTGTTGACTATTGAGAGAGTCTTAAAAAAAAGATTGAGGTTCCTTGGCAAGATAATTTATCAGAAAATTATAGAGACAATTCTCAAGAGATAGCCTGTCAAGACAGTGGGGCTTATGAAGTCCCAACTGCCAGTGATATCTCTGTCCTGCTTTGAGGGCCCTGGTTGTCTTAACAGGAAGGGCTATCTCATGCCAACTGTTCTCACCCCTATGTAAAGTTATGCAACTTTAGTCTTTAGAAGATTTACCCAAGATATTTAAACTATGTTAATCATACTAAGTGATTCTGATTCTAATGCTGTAGGAGTTTGCAGATGGCCACTCCCAAAATTACTAAATCCAAGATTCTTTTTCATTCTCTATTCCACTAAACTATTTGCTATTGTTGGTTGACAATGTCTTGAAATTCTGTGCTATCCATGGCTCCCTGATGCTCTACTACTCTTGTTCACTGTTTAAATACCTGACTTCTCTTTCAAGGATCCTTCTGCCTCTCCTTCTCTAAAACCAGTATTCTCTCCTCTAAACTTAAAGCTGCATGCCTGCCCAAGATAAAAATGCCTGCTGTGTATATCAAGATCTGCAGAGTATCCCTGACTGTTGATCAACAACTATGACCTCCCTTCATCCAGAAGAAGACAGACTGGTCATTGCCTATTACCCTCCCACAGCAGCTCAGGTTACTTTCTGAGAGGGGGAACATTATAGGCAACTGAGTTAAACAGAAATATTATAGGCAGTCAGACAGGGCTAAGCCCAAGAAGGAGCCAGTGCAGAAGACCAGATACCTTGCAGCCTTGAAAGAACCTCCTGCTATGGGCCAGCATTCAAGACAAACAAATACACACACATCCTCAGGATTGATATTCTAAATAGTTCTCTGTCACCCTGAGGAAGCCAGGAGTAACCATCCCAAAGAGTCATTGCTCTTTATGCATGCCCACCTGCTACGTGACTCACTTCCCTATTTGTCCCTGATCTAATAAATTTTACCCGTGCAGTTAATCTCATTGATTGGCAATAGTTCTGTCCCATCTCATGCCCACCTTGCAGAGTTCCCATGTTTTTCCCACCTTAGACCTGCCTCACCTTGTGGTTTTACTCTATAAAAGTCCCGAGAAAAGAGTCTTTGGCAACCCACTCAGAACCCCTTCTGTTTGTCTCTCAGACATAAGCTTTCTTTCAATAAATATATTCTGCTCTTAAAAAATGAAATAAAATCAGCCTGGGGATTTAGCTCAGCAGCATAAGCACCTTGCCTTGCAAGTGTGTGGTCGTGAGTTCGATCCCCAGTACCGATAAAAAAAGAAAAAGACAAAAAAATAAATAAATAAATAAATAAAGCCAGCATTGGCCAGTTCTCATGGTTCAAAACTATTTAGGTGGTTGGGCTGGGAAGTTAGCTCAGTGGTACAAGCAAGCACCTGCCTGGCAAGCATAAGGTCATGAGTTTGATCCCCAGTACCAAAACTATTTAGGTGCTCATAATGCTAGGATTTTCATACCTGGTCTCAACTTCTAGTCCATATGATAAATTGCAAGCTCCTCTTGAATAAATATATTATTATTTCAAAGTTAACATATCTCAGTAAGACTCAGTCATGGACCCTCTATCTATTCTCTTATGCCACAAAGTATCCAACAATAGTTCTCATTCTTAACACTGAGTAAATTGGAAAGATTTCTGTCTGGATCTTTCCTTTGTCTCTCTCTCTCTCTCTGTTTCTCTATGGGGAGGCAACTGTGTGACTAGCTAGCTCAAGAAACGAATCTAGGACACAATAAGCATATGTTAAAGGATAAATCACATTACCCTTCCCAGACGATATATTCTCTGGAGATACTATAAATTTTCTTTTCTAAAAAAGACTGAACTTTAGAACAACTGCACTTCTAACCTTTCTGGTTCTTGTTGGTGGCTCTCATTAATCTACCACTTGTTCTGTTAGAGACAGTAAACAGTAAGAATAAATACGATTTCTTACCCAAAAAGTAGAATTGCAGAACTTGTCCACCATGACTCCTGGAGCACTTCTTAAGTGAAAACTTCTCTAGGACCTGGTTGCTTCTCCTTTACTCTTCCTAGCAGAAGGTGGATGTTATTTTTCCCCCCTGATGACCTGATGTTGCAATTAAAGGCAGGTCTCCTGACCTTTCATCCCAACAATTTAATAGTTAACCTAGCCTGAAAGCATGCTTACATCATCCTGGGGGATAGAAACGGGAGGAGAGTTTCCAGGGACGGTTAGACTCACAAATTTCCGAAGTTCCCAGGTTCTCTAAATACAGCTGCACACACAAGGAACCTCTGAGAGATGTCAGCAGTGCTGGCAATAGGAGTGCGTATGCTTTCAGTCTTCTAGGGACACATGAGCCACAAAAGGGCAGTACTGATAGAAGGACATGTGCTGTTAAACACACTGATGCACTTTTTTAAAAGTTCTTAGAGTTTGTAGAAATATGAAATAACTATTTACCTGGATTTTTAATTAACACACAGCCTAGCCAAGTGAGGTGGTTCGAACCTGAAATTTCAGCACTCTGGGAAGCTAAGGCAGGAGGATTCCTGGGCAGTTTAAGGCCAGCCTGAGCAACAAGGTGACTTGGAATACAGGTAAGTATAAATGTCTTAGTGTAACCAGCACTGCAAAATGAAACTTAAACGCTATTATTTTTTCCTTTGGAGTCGAGTGGCTTCCAAAGATCCTCAGGCCTAGCATGTCAATGATTTCCCCACCTCTGCTCTGCCCAGAGGAATGGAAAGAATGTGAAGAATCTTGGAACCAGGAGGTCAAGCTGAATTTCATTCCTTTTTCATTCCCTGCATCTAGGAAGGGATGGAGCTAGCCTGAAGAGGTCTGTTCTGCTGTATTCCCCACACTATTTCTAGTTATAAAAGTCCCCAGCATACCTGTGTAGGGTGAGACTCAATTTGAGGTAAGAAGGCTTGTCCATCTCCTGGGGGTTGGCTTTGAATACCTGTAAATCCTTTTATCTTTTGCCAATTTACTGCCTCCTTTGGTTTGGTTAATAGTACGCAAATAAGCACATGAACCTCAGTGGCCAGTAAAAGAGGTACAATTGTGAGTACTGTTTAAAAAATCATAGAATTTAAAATCATGATTAAAACTTGCATAAACTTTGTTTGAAAAAGTCAGTGTAAAAAAAAAAAAGAAAAAGTCAGTGTGAAAGTATGTGTATGGCTCATAGGATTATGAGTAACTTGTATTTTCCTTTTTTTTGTCTGTATTTTCTGACTTTTCTGTAATTACCGGGTATTGTTTGTATAATAATATTTTAAAGTAACTTCTATTGTTAAAAATAAATAAAATGTGTCATCTTAGTCATTTCAAAGTATAGAACGTAATTTGGCAGTGTTACATATTTTCATATTTTTGTTTAATGAATCTCCAGAACTTTACCTCTTATAAAACTGGAATTCTATGCCCTTTAAATAATAAAAACCTCCTATTCTCCCTTCCCTCAAGTAAAGCATACATTATTTTAATATAGAACATTCTAAGTTAACAGAACATGCCAACCATGACAATAAGGTATAAACACTATAATGTGGAACCAAGTTGGTATCCAACATAAATGCAAAAATAGTTTTAAAGTTATATACCAGAGCCCATAGAAGGTCTTAGTTAAAAGATTAAGAACTTACTAATATTGTTAATATTATCATCAAAATGAGCCATCTCCCCCACAAAAAAATTATGTGAGGAACTCAGGCTGTGAGAGAATACAGGGTGAAACTTGAGTTTCTTCTTAACCCAGATATTTGTCCTGATTTAGCTCTTTTTAAAATTCTATTTATATTTTATTAGGACATGTTTATAGCACATAATAGTTACATTCTTCATGGAGAGTTGGTACACATACATAATACATCTTAATTCATTTTTATTTCACCACTTTACTCTCATTTACCTCCTTGTTCCCTTCATCTCTTGGCCCCCTTCCTTTGGCAAAAGTTCACTCTCACTGTTTCCCATTACAGACCTTCCATTTTGCTCTATATTTATACTTTGAATTTCTCTAATAAGAGAATCCATGTTATATTTAAGCTTGTGTACCTGATTTATTTCATCCAATATTGTCATCTCAAGGTGCATCCATTTTCCTACAAATGACTCAAGTTTCTTTAAGACAGAGTAGCTCTCTATCAGGTATAAATACCAGGTTTTATCCATTTGACTGCTGATGGACATACAGAGTGCTTCCAAGATTTAGCTATTATGAATTGTGCTGCTATAAACATGGGTATGCATGTATCACTATAATATTATGTCTTTAACTCTTTGGAGAAGATGCTAGAAGCAGGGTAGTTGAATCAAACAGAATTTATAGTTTTAGTTTCTTGAGGACTCTCCAAAATGATTTCCAATATGATTATACTTATTTACATTCCCACCAACAATGTAGAAGGTTTCTTTTCCCCGTCAGCCTCACAAGCATTTGTCATTATTTGATTTCTTGATGGCAGCCATTCTTCGTGGAGTAAGATGGGATCTCAGTGTTTTAATTTGCATTTCTCTAATGGCCAGGGGTGCTGAGTATTTCTTAATGTATTTATTGGTCGTTTATACTTATAAGAATGCATATTCATTTCACTTGAACATGTTTCGACTGGGTCTTTTATCTTGGGGAGTGCTATGGCTTGTGACAAGATGCCCTGCAAAGCCTGTAGTCAGTTATAAGTGAGACTTTTTCCGATGTGGCTGAATCTACAGGGCATAATGCCAAGACTGATTCATGGTACAATGCTAGGATCAAGGGCACTAAGATTAAGGTTGTGAGTGCTACCTGCTCCAAGTACTCTAGATAAGATGTAAGAGATAGAAAGAGCCGTGGCTGTCCTTTATTACTTTGCCACATGCTCCCTGCCATCAACTGTTTCTCTTCCGTGATGCCATCATGCCTTAGAGCTAGATGATTATGGACTGAAACTTCTACAAACTGAGCTAAATAAACCTTGCCAGCTTTAACTTTGGGTGTCAGTTATTTTGCAACAAGAAAAGTAAGAAAAGGAATCTAATTATTTTTTGGTTCTTTATATATTGTTAATGTTACTTCTCTGTCCGAGGTATAGCCGCAAATTTTTTTCCAGATCAGTAGATCCCCTCGCTCTGTTGTTTCCTTTGCTGAGTGGAAGACTTTTAATTTGATATAATCTCATGTTTGGATTCTTTTATGCTGCTTCTTGTACTATTGGGGTTCTTTTCAGAAAGTCCTTTCCTACAACTATGTCTTCAAGAGTTCTACTTATATTACTTCCAAAAGGTTGCTTCTGTTATAACATTTAGATCTTTGATCCATTCTTGAATTTTATTACAGTTCAATGTGAGAGATATGGGTCCAGCTTCAATCATCTGCAGTAGTCAGTTTTCACAACACCATTTGTTAAAGAAGCAATCTTTCTTCCAGTGTGTGTTTTCCTCCTGCTGCCAAACATCAAGTAGCTAAAAATTGTTTACAGTTGTTTCTGCATCCTGTATTCTGTTCTATTGATCCACATGTCTGCTTTATGTGCCAGTACCATCCTGTTTTTATTACTGTAGATTTGTAAAATAACTTCAAGTCCAGGATTGGAATACCTCTGGATTTACTCTTGTATCTAGAAATTGTTTTTGTCTTTCTGACTCCATATGAGTTTTAGGATTGTTTTCTTTACTTTGATAGTGAGTGCTGTTAGTATTGTAAATGAGATTGTGTGAAATGTTGTATCACTTTTGGAACTATGGGTGTTTTTACTTATCCAGCAAGAGAGGACATATCTCCAATTTCTGATGTCCTTTTCAATCTCCTTTTTAAAGAGTACTATAGTTTTCATCATGCGGCTCTTTCAATTTGTTGGTTAGGTTAATTTCTAAGTACAGTATTTAATTTTTTATGCTATTATAAATCATATTTCATTCCTAATTTCTCTTTTTAGCAAATCCAATATTGTTTTACAGGAACACTACTGACTTTTATATGTTGATTTTGTATCCTGCTACCATGCTGTATTTAGTTACTAATTTTGGGAGTATCCTAGTGGAAATTTTTGGATGTTCTAATATAGAGGGTCAGATCATTTGCAAATATTGATAATTTGACTTCTTCTTTTCCTGTACGTATGACTTTTATTTCTTTCTCTTGCTTGATGGTTCTGGATAATGTTTCACTTACTATATTTAACAGAAGTGGTGATAATGGGCATCCTTGTCTTGTTTCTGATTTTTTTGTGTGTGTGACAGGGTCTTGCTATGCAATCTAGGCTGGCTTTCAACTCACTATGTAGCCTAGGCCATCCTCAAGCTTGCGGCATGTATTCCTCTGAATCAGTGGGTTATCTACATGGTGCAGGAGAGGACTCTTTTTGTCACCCAGCCCACACTGGCTCACAGAAAAGGCTTACTAAGTTCCTGGTTCTTTCCCTAGTCCACAGCCTCTGCTTCAAAGGCATTTTGTGTGTCTATTGAGATGATTATATGACTTTTGTTATTGCTTCTGTTTATGAGATACATTACATTTATTTATTTGTATATGTTAAAAAAAAACTTGTGTCTTTGGGATGAAACCTATTTGGTCATCTTTTTTTATAAAATAAGAATAAAACCAAATGAGAAAAAACCAAAATGGGGTCATTCAAAACAAAAGGATGGACATAGTACTTGATTTAAAACCATGATATAAGGTTATCTACAATGGTTGCCACAATGTCTGTTGCTATCTTCAATAGAATTGCCCATATCATCAGGCACAATAAAATTGAACATAGCAGTACAGAACAAAATTAATAAAAACAAACATTAGAGGTATTATAAGACTTCAAAAGAGGGTAATAATCAAACCAGAATGGGTATCATAGTGAATCTTATTGTCTTCAGAGGAGTTGCCTATATTCTCAGACTTGATACTATCAAATGTAACAGATTCTAATAAAATCAGTCAAGACAACACAGTGATCAAACAAAACAGATTCAAATAAAATCTGTCAAAACAAGACAGTGAAAGCAATAGAGGGCTTCAACTTAAGTTAACAGGAAATCAAAAATGGTTACCATAGTATATCCTGCTATCTTTGGAATAGATGTCCATGCCCTCACATCTAGTCAAGTAGACAAACTGGAACAAAATATAACCAAACAAAACAGAATGATGAAAACAATATGGGTTTCAAATCATGATACAAAATTAACGATATCCTCTGCATTCTCCTTTTAGACAATTGCTCCCCTTTCACTTTCACAGGGTACATTGTACATCTTGTATCCCACTAACTCCTTTAGTTTTTAGATTAGGGAAGCAACTCACTATTTACCTAAGTGATTCTGACCTTTTTTACCCCTGAGCTTGATCTCAAGTTGTATGCATTTACCTACAAGAGCCTCAAGGTTTTCCCTCCTTATAGCTGAGTAATTTTCCATTGTATAAAAGTGTCATGTCTTTCCAACCAATCTGCAACTGAAAGGCGAGCTACCCCTACTTTTTTCTGGTTCCCTGTCACAGAGAGCATTATTTTCTCATCTTTGACTTTCAGTCCACAAACCTTCTTACAGATTAAATATATTTCTTGTATAGAGCATCTTGATGGACCCTATCTCTTGATCCACTCAGCCTGAGTTTCTTTTTATTAGTGTACTGAGGCCATCCACGTTAGCGATTATGGCCAACCTTCTCTGCCTCATCTCTGCCATGCTATTTTTCTGCCAGTGGTTGTCTGCTTTTCCCCTTCATTCCACTGTTTGTCCTATTCAGTGAGCTTCCTCTGCCACTGTTCTTGAAATCATGGTCTTTTTTCTCTCTTCTAGACTGTCCTTCAGTGTTTTTTGTAGGGTTGGATTGGTGGTCATGAATTCCCTCAATTCCTCTTTGTCATGGAAGCTTCTTGTTTCTCCATTAATTTTAAGAGATAGTTTTTCAGGGTACATCAATCTGAGTTGGAGGTT